GCTTTTCCAGGAACACCAATTTTGCTGTCTTTCACGGACGATGAGTACCCCTTTCGTTAACGAATTAGGTATGGGCTTGAGGTGTAATTTGGGTTCTTTCGCTGAAATCAGATTAGGGATATCAGCTAGTATACCATTTATGTCAGGAGCTTTCTTTGGCTTCAGTTTGTTGGCTGTGATTTTGTTTATTCCTAATTCCGGGACTTCTGCTTCACTGTCTGGGCACAAACATTTTGCAGGAATATTCATGACATATCTCATGAGAATATTGAGATATCCGATTCATATGCCATGCAGATTTATTCATATGATTGGGATATCCCAGGCACATGCTTGAGTCACCATGAAACATATCCATGCAATCTGCCACATATATGAAAATTGTGTTCAGGCTCTGTGCCTATTGCTTAACTACAGCTTGAGTTAAGCAGCGGGACGGAGTATTAACTGTCAGAGAGCAGCCTCACTCTCTGCTATGGCCAAGGAGGCTTGGGCACAGTAAATTATAGAAATATTGAGAGACGTCGTACACTGGTTGAATCTGGTTTATTGAGTTTGATACATCGTCTTTTATATTTAATCGCTATTATTATTACATGATATTTTGATATAATTATTATACTGAACGAGGACGCATATTATTTTATATCGTGATATTAAATTTTAATGGAATTCAATTTTTATATATAATTTGTAATAATACATTGTGCCGCCTTTCCAGAATAGAAGATCTTAAAGACTGTAGTTCAACCTGGTCTTTTTTTGTCTTCGCTTGACCCGTTCTTCGGTTCTGTTTGGTTTGTTGGTGTTTCAGAATGAATTTTATCGTATACCATGCTGCAATGCCGATGCATTCCTGAGATATTTGAATAATGCCTGTTGTATTTATTGCAACATCTTCCTGCACACCGTCACAAATGACAGATATGGTTGTTGAGGAATCCGTAATGAATATCCATGTGTTGGGTGCGCAGAGCTCCTTCCATATGATGCTTTGTATATTGTTCATTTGAATCTTGCAATGCCTTGGTTCTGGTTGTTCATAAATTTCGTCAATGATGCATGACGGATTTGTCTCTATGCTTCTGACTGAAATTAGAGAGCAGATAAGGTGGTGATCATATGATTGAATGCATTGCTGCAAATCGCGTTCTTGGAGTTCGAACTATACTTGAGTGTTGTAATCAATCGCAATATATCCATCTGGAAGGTTCAGAATCCAATAGGTACAATTTCCAGACTCTAAAGGTACTGGTGTGGCTCGTATCAACTCGAATTCAGTAACATCTGCAATGGGGAAATATCCGAATATCTAAATGTGTGTCTTAATGGCAGCTAACTTTGTCGTTGTGATTGAGGATGCGATGATCTTCAGATTACTTGTAAACTTCTGACTGGTTTGTTCAATGATAGAGTGCACATAAGCTGGTGAGATTAAATCGTATATGGTTCCTCTGTTGAAATGTATATCTAGTAATTTATCGTAGTATTCGCTGATTCCGCTTATGACATCAGTGCCACTTGATAGGCACTGAGAAGATGGATATTTAATGCATTGGTATCGAATTGTTTGTACCAGCTTTGCATTTCGTTGATAACTTCAATTCCTTGTGTTCGTGCAAATGTTTGGGAAAAGGGGAATTTGTTTGTATATTTAAAATTCGATATTGACATTAAAAAAAACCATACAATTTCAAACCATTCGGCACCATATATACGCTACGACCTTCGAAGCAGTCGAGTTCGAGTAGTGCGAGGTCGCGTGTCCGTAGCCAAGACTACATATTTTGAATCAAAAACTCTCCAAAAATATTCATTAGAAACTCAATTATCTACCCGTTTTCGAAGTGACCAGTGGGATTACGTTGTTTATGAAACAGGAGCTCCTGTGAGGCGCCAACACCAGCGCATAGCACAACCCTGTGCAACTCCAAGGTAGGTGCCTTATCTAATATTGCCTTTGTATGGTTCCGCGATCAAATTTCGACGCGTTTACAGTCCGCGGCTCTCCAGAATAAATTTCCCAACGTTTTAATCATAAACACCTTGATTGAATCTTTCTTGGAAATGTTGTAGTTTAAGGTTTATTTTGGCTTCGGTTTCATTGAACTTTGCAAGGGCTGAAATCATGAACTTGGTTTGATGACTGGATGCTTCGATTAACTGTTGTCGATTCTAGGTCTTGATACACTTCATCATTGACGCTAAAGACAGCGGTTAAAATTTTTCCAAATAATCCTCTTTTCCTTCTTTGGTGATGGACGCTGTTGAGGGTGCCATGTATCCACTTGGTGTGATTTTCCAATTGTTCTTGTCGCGATCTTGTAAATCGCGCTTTATGCGCCGTATGGCACCGCCACATTTTGTGTCTCTCTTCAACGCCCGACCCCCAGAACCCAGCTGATAGAATCATTGATCAAGAAGCAGAGCCCGTTTTCGCCGCTACTTTACAACTTTGTTTTCCCATAAAACCCACCATTTTTGTTAAAAACTTAATAAGATATTTTTGTAATTAATATCAGTATATTGTAAAAGTTCACTTTGAAGAGTTGACCTATAAAAATACAGTCCACATCTATGATGATTTCTGTTTTATTTGTTGCATGGGCAACCGAAATAGAATCATAACCTCAACGTTTGAACAGTTCTAAATGGTGTATTATTGAAGTACATTTCACTTCATTTGTAATTTCGATTGACCTGTTACACAGCGTTTCAAACTGATGAACAACATTGGATATAGCCATATTGTCTGCTTGGCTTCTATTTTTTGAGTGTACTATTTCCATGAGGAAGATACCTCGATCGATTCTCGATGATCCGATATGCTCCACGTATATTCCATGTTGAGGGTAGGTAATTCCTAATCTGATTTCTGCTGTGATAGAGGAAATAAGCATAAGGAAGGCTAGTAGGAGATGTAGTAACTGCGATTTGGACGATGCCTGGGTTCTAGTGTTTCTAGTTATTGGCGTTAGGTCACTTTTTGCTGAGTGGTTTGAAATTTTTGAAGCTGTGAGGCTCTCGTCTTTTTCTGTCGGAAGTGGAATTAGTTTATGAATCGGCCTTTTCGTCGTGGTGCCTCCTGCTTTTCTTTTAGTAACTACTCGAACTAAACCATTTTTTCCTGGGTGCATGCCAGGGTTTTTTAAAGGTTTTTTGGATGAGTCGCCATCTTTGGGATAAGCTGCTGAGCTCTGGTGGTGCTAACAATTCTCTTCCTATTAGGAATTGGCTAGGCGTAAACACACTGATGTTGTTTGTATCTTCTGTCAACGGACAAATTGGCCTCGAGTTCAAACAAGCTTTGATTTGGCATGTCAAAGTTGTGAGTTCCTTAATTAGGGTGCACTCTCCAATGACTCGCTTCATATGGTATTTCATTGATCTGATCCCTAATCCCCATATTCCTCCAAAATGTGGTGCGGCTGGGGGGATAAAGTGCCACTGGGAACCCATATTTATTATTGCGTTTTGTAATGTTGGTGTGTCGATTTGATAATCGATACACCATATTCGCTTCGTTTTCAAATTGTTTCGATGCTCCTACAAATGTCGTTCCATTATCGCTGTGAACATTTGCGCATCTTCTAGCGAAAAATCTTCGGAATGCCGCTGGGAATGCTTCATACGTCATGTCACTGACAACTTCGAGGTGAATTACTTTGGTGGATAGGCAGACGAAAACTGCTATATAGCCTTTGTAGGATTTGTGTTCTCTTCTTTTGGTGGCTCTAACTTGGATGGGCCCTGCATAGTCTACTCCCGAATTCATAAACGGAGGTGCTAGTGTCACTCTAGTTCGCGGTAATTGCCCCATTAGTTGCTCTGCTGTTCTTGCTCTGTGTCGGATGCACATGATGCAGCTTTTTAATATCGCTTTCACTGCTCGCCTTCGATTCATGACCCAGAATTTGCTTCTTACGTATGACAGTGTAGTTTAATTGCCTCCATGAAGAGTCTTCTTGTGAGCATCTGCGATTATCAATTTGGTGACATGACTATAATATGGTATGATCATCGGATGGTTTTTATCGTAAATTAGCGATGCATTTTATGTGTAGAGGTTGCCTTGGTATTGACTGGGTTAACTTTGAAAGAACTATCATGATGACCTACATGTAAAATGTACTTCTGAATCGTAGTGTAATATAAGTATCTACTATTAACCATTTTGAGATCTTCGGCTCTCCATCTCTCACGCCAGATATCTCAGCTCTAATGTGACGTCGTGGAAGCCCTAAGCGTTGTGCTGCTTCTTCGGTGATAAGTCTTCGTCTGGGTGTGGTGCAACTTGTTCCTTCTCTACTCGGGAACAGTTTCTGGACCACCTCCAGGGATTTTGTCATTGTTAGAGCCCTATGCTCACTCGTTACCCTGAGTCTCCTCGGAGTATATTTTCCAGAACCTTGGGTATTATGGGTTTTTGTTGACCTCAATAACTTACTGTGCGTTAAAACTCACGAGAGACCAAAAAAAAACAAGACGAGACGAGAAAAGAACTCCCTCGCGTCGTATCGAAGGTCCGTCGTCGAGACGAGAAACTCATTTTCTCTCGAACCCTCGAGGCAAGACTAGAGAGAGCGTATTCTCGTCTCGTTTGTATAAACTTTATCTAGAAAATATCTATTTGATATAAATATACCAGAACTATCTTACTAAAATCTTGGTCGAATCCTACAAATCCACAAAAATTTAAAAAAAACCGATACAGATAAAGACACAGACTCATGCTCATTATTTATTACAAATATTTCCAATCTAATTCACAATAATTAATTACGACTTGGCATGTCTCATCAATTAATAATTGAACAGATTTCATTCAAATCCTCTTGTAGCGGACTATTTTTCAAATGCGGTGTTTTTTCCAAAGAACATCCCTTATCCTTCGCTTATAAATTGTACAAAGGCGCAGGACTTGTCTTGCGCCCTAAAACCACCCCAAATAGCAACGTCACCGCTGCAGGACACCATCCAGACGTATAACACAGTGTTTGGCCGCGACTATAACATTGCTTGTATCGCTTATTTTGTGTATTTCGTGTGGACTGCTTTTTGCCAACAATAAAGTGCAGTGAAACTATCTCTATGTCGCCGAGGTAAGCAATTCATTACAAATTAGCTAGCTTGAATTTTGGTGCAAAGAAAATACATTAGAAATGATCTTGAAAGTTTGCCCCGTCGCGATCGAAACTCGGCTCCTTAATCGTAATGGGAAAAACATTTATTTTCCATTAGGCGCGAGCTTATGACTTTCAAATGATGGAAAATCTACATAGATATATCTTGGTTGGGGCGGTTGTTTGAACTTTTACGAGTCTTGCATATTTTTAGCTCATATTTTCTGTGTATATATACATATACAAAATCTAACCTATTTTCCGGATCGATGTTTAGTCTTTTGATGATTCGTTTTAGGCAAAACAACTCGAGTAAAAATTAAATTCAGGTGCTTTGAAGCTTGCCAAGAAACCAACGAAAGTTAGTAGATTATTTCCATCTTCAATATACTATATTTTTGTTTGACATAATCTAGTTTACTGGTAGGAAAGGAATTGGGTGCAGAACAAATTTTTTTTTGTGTAAATTTGACCATCCTTAAGACTCCCTAGTCTAATCTATGAAATTAATATGCATAAGTCTAAAATAACAAATTTTAGAAGTTTCTATGGTCAAATGCAAATACTGTTGTTATCACCATTCACTTAATAATTGTTCTAAATTATAGCTAAACTTTACTCGTTTATTATAGTGAATCACGCAATAATTTATGTGAAGCTATTTTGTTTTAACAAGTAATGGAAATAAAAGGTGTAAAAAAACTATCATTAGCAGTCCATTCCATTTGTTCGAGCTATTAGCCAAGTAATTTGGGTTGCTTTTTGTATCCGTAAATATTAAAAGGTTATTGAAATGTTTTGTCGATTATTCAATTTTCATATACGATTAATGAATTACTATCTATCCCTTAGAAAAATACTGAAAGACAGTATTCTCTCCTATCTAACGTAGACAAACGACATTCTTGGACCGATATTGGGTAATATGGGCCAAAATTGCCTTTGCTCGAATCTTATTCATTCCGGAGAACCCTCTTTCTTATTCATGAGGTGCACAATTTGTTTCGCACGAAGGGATTTAGCGATTGTCACTGCGGGATATTGTTTTTTTTTAAGGAAAAATCCTTTTTCCTATTTCAAACATATTTGCTTTTCCCTTCTCTTAGAACATATGATGTGTGTATTGGTAAGAAGCGCTTTTGGGCTTTAGTTGTTGAGCCAACACCCTCGTTCTAAGCACAAAGTTTTCGAATAGCTACTTGTCAGTATGATAATGAGGTGGGATTTATAAGAACCTCGCAATATGACAAGTTAATCGCAGCAGATATATTTGTAAGAAAACTTTTAGACGTTAAGTTTAATTAAGGTCCTTGAAATTTCGTCTACGACGATTGCTTCCTTAATTCCTAACAAGATTTATTTCTTTTGCAGATCGTATTAAAGCACCTGACCTCGAAAAATGGCGCAGCGGTAGGAACGTTTCCATCACTCCCGCGTGTCGGCTTAGTTTCATCAGCAGCAAAAAAAAAGCCTTTCCGAACTGAAACATTATCCATTTTATCAATAGAGACATTACGTATAAGCTGCTTTCGCTTTTTGTACCAGAATAACACATATCGCATTTACTTTGTAGACATGTGGCGCGTTTCTTGCGCTCTCAGATCAATATCACCCTTTGAGATGTTTTAACCCTCTCTTCAAAAAGCCACGCCATGATGCTGTTTTATGTAGTTTTATCAATTTTGCTTAGCAACATTCACGGGTTTGTATTAGACGGTTCGTCTGAATCCTATTCACAATTTAGAAAATGGGGCGGCGGTACCAACGGTACTTTAGAATTTGAATTTAAGACTGATCAACCTAACGGACTCTTACTGTATACGGACGACGGCGGTACTTACGATTTTTTCGAAATAAAACTCGTAGAGGGCGCTTTGAGATTGAGGTACAACTTGGGCGGCGGAGCTCAAATTATAACAGTCGGCAAAGAACTTAATGACGGTCATTGGCACAAAGTCCAGCTACAACGTCACGAGGAACGTACGATTTTGACCGTGGACGGCGCATCGCAGATGCGTACGTCGCGAGGCAAAGAATTCAATTTCGGTAAATTGGAAACGAATTCGGACGTTTACATTGGCGGCCTGCCTAAATGGTACAACAAGAAATTGGCTTTGTTAGCGTTGCCGAGCGTGTTTTTCGAACCGCGTTTTATCGGATCGGTCAGAAATTTGATTTATCCGGACGTCGAGGGTGGAGTGGCACGCCGACAAGAGACTCGACCCAAGGACCATAGGGTAAGTTAACCACAAACTGATTATGTATTTAGTATAATTAATATTAAATTCAAACTGGTAAGTAACTCAAACATAAATTAAAAAATAATCTGGGTACAAATACATACAAATGAGTATTGGTTTGAAAGGGGAGCCTTTACAGTTCCGTTCTGCTATTCCCCAGTTAGTGGAACCCTTAGGAGCCCACAACTTTTAAGAAAGGTTCGGACGCGCTCAGGTCGGATATGCTTTATTTCATAAAGTTCCAAAAACCTGTATCGTAGCCTGCGACTCACGAGGGCGTCACATTCGCAGATTATACTTATGCTTGATAGTCTCTCATGACTCAGAACCGTCTCCTTACTGAGTCCGATTATATGCAGGTGGCATCTGACCACCTATTGCCCTATCAGGGTGCCTGTGACGACTCTTAGTTGGCTCCTGTAAGCTTTAAAGAGGCTTTTCGCCTCTTTGAAGTTTGAGGGACCTCGTATAAAGATCCTTGACTGTCTGAGGCCTCTTTGATTCAGCCAATTATCTGGGAACTGGTTGCTGGACCCGGACTGGTGACCTTGTTGAGTCCTCCGAGTAACTGAGTAGTTCTAGGGTTATCATACAGTCAAGGGTGACTCTTGAGTTGACCTTGTCTGAGCACAGGATTTGGAGTGCTACCTACTGACTGTCGCTGCATATATAAATATGTGTAGGTTTTTATATTTGTTGTCTAGGGGTATTTTGGGGGTTTTGCACCAAATAAAACCACTTTTAAGCGTTGAATAACAATAAGGTATAATAAAAAATAGTTAATGGGTGGAAAAACACATGTGGAAATAATACACAGCTTAGAAAGTAAATTTGCTTATGCTGCCCTCGTCTATAACAACCACCAAACCACGTCACGTTACGTTATGTTATAAAAAGAGTGGTACCTACTTTGTTGGCAAAGCAAAGCACGGCTTTCTTCCCGGTACCACATTACACACACCACACTGTACTTTACGTCTTTCGGTTTTTTTTTATCGTGGTTTGTCGTTTTTCGCCCCTTTTTTAAGGTGTCGCGGCGCGCGTCTCTTCTGCGTCCCCCTTCACCGCTCATCGTCTTGGTTCGACTGCCCTGCCCCCACACGCTCGTCATGACGTTATTTTTTCCTCCGCTGTCAAACGATCGCGGTCTGTAGTATGTTCGCTTACACTACTCCACTGCACTATGCTGTTTACACCAAGAACACTAAGGGCCATATTCTCCGAAACGCTTGACTTTTTGTGTGACAAAGCCGAGCTTTTCCACTAAGCCAGGCTTTATGGACTACGGAGAATATGGCCCTAGTAATTACTATAAACATATATCTAATTCTACACTTAACTAATATCTAATCCCAACACGGCCGTCTTGACTAGCATTCCGACACGGATTCACTAATATTCATGACCCATGGCTTCATATACTCAGCACAACTTGAAGTTACTCGCGGCCCTTCATGTTTCCCGACTTTCACCACTTCGTAACGTTCGTTTTTCCTTTATTTATAAAGCTTCTTGTGTTTTCATTTTGACTCCAATTAATACCTTGTATCTATACTTCATTGCAAGGTGGAATTTAGTACTCGCTGTACTCTTTCCAAATGTTTGAACCATTTGTTCGGATCTTCCATGCTTAGCTTAGTAAGAATTGAAATGATGATTCGATTAATACTTTCTACTTGACCGTTTCCTCTTGGTAAGCCTATGGTGATAGATAAGTGCTAAATTTCCTCCTCCTCCATATACAATAGCTCTTGCACCCTACCTGTACTGTACTAGATGCCAGATGAGCTTTTTCGGCTGGAGGAATCCTGGGTCAGGCTCTAGTCAGTCGTCCCTTGCAGGGAAGATGACCTTGTATTATCTAGGGGTCTGAAGTTTCTGGCATTGCATCCGTTCAGGTGAGAAGGGGGTCCTGTCTGATAGTAAAGGGTGATCCAATTAGTGCTTTAGGATGTTGAAGTGAAATATAGGCACTGTACATGTAAAAAAAAAAATTGGTAGTTTTTTAGATTGGTATATTACAAAACAAAGTGGAACATTTAACACCACAGCAACGTTACGAAATTATCAATTTTTTTTATCAAAACCAAAGCTCTAGGAAGGCAACTTGGTGCGGATTACCAAAGTGCACTCTATGGATCGACCCAGTGAATAAACAATTCGTAGTGTTGCGTGGAAATTTGAAAATGAGTGCACGTTGCTGGATAATCCAAGAACAAATCGTGTAAGAAATATGAGAAATGCAGAAAATGTTGAAGCCGTAAGGCCAAATGTTCGGAGATAATCCAAATTTGACTGTTAGACGTCGTTCTCAGCAAGGATTATTTCTCCCCAATAATCATCGAAAATCAACTGGAGGGATTTTGGTTCCAACAGGATGGCTCTACGTACCATACCTTCAACAAAACCATAGAGCAATTATTCCTGAGATAACAGGGTCCTTATTCTTGAAATAGGGGAGCAGCGTTCCTAGTAGAACGAGTGTTCCATCTTTCTCAATGATATTATAAGTAAAAAATATGGTACACTCGTTCTCCTGGGAACGGTGCTCCCCTGTTTGAAGAATAAGGACCCAACCCAAATGTGTGAAAACGTAATGATAACTTGGCCTGATCGACAAAATCGCTATTGTGATTTGTGAATAAAGTCGTTAAGGTCATTTCACCGATATTATTTTCAAAACATAATTGTAATTAGTTGGTCTTTCGAATGAAATGAAAACATGTTGCCAACGCAGCAATGTCTGTGTTTGATTTCATTTCAAAATACTGAAGCACTAATTGGATTTATCAGTCTAGATAAAAAAAATATATTAAAAATTAAATCTTTAGATTCTCCCCCAAATAGACAAAATTTTCCTTTTAAGTTAAGGTAGCTACTATAGGTACAAGATAAACCTGAGGGTGAAATCAATCAAATCCAGAATATGTTAAAATTCTTGAGATGTTTTAATTAAAACTTTTTAAATGAATTTTTTGACCTGTCTGGATTTCTATTTTAAAAAATCACACCCTTTTTCAACACTCTTCTCCTCGAGAAGATAATAATCAAGATAATAATTGACGGAGTCAAACAGAAAATGGCTATATAGGCCTCTGCCTGGATTCAATAAAGAGTTGATAGGGATGCACACACATATTTGGTTTTCACCGACTCTATTTTTAGAGCAAATGGTCAGATAATCTCACACTAACAATTGATTCTGAAAACCAGAGCAGCAGGACCTATTTATTAGCCCAAAAATCTGAATTGACTTATCTCAGGAAAACGAGGAACCACCAATCAGCACTCACACAAAATGGAGGCCCACAATAAGATAAAAAATTAAAATATAATATTTATATTTCAAAAATAGATAAGATAAGATTCATCAGGTAAAACCTGAACAATGATATGATAGTATGCACTGATAGCAAAATAAACTGAAAAAATTATAACGGAGAATCTAAAAATGTGATGGAAAAATTATGAAATTGAAAGTGACTTGCCTGCTAGAGCACTGTCAGAGAAAGAGGACGTTTTAGAAACCGAACCTTGCAGGAAACCAATCTTGTGTTTTTTTTTTATACTAACTGCTTATTAACCAGATCGACCAATTAGAAGCCAACAGTCAACATACATTAAAAGAGCGTGCTCACTTCACAAATGAAAAACCACGTTGTTTGAAAGAGAATAGATAAAAACACACTAGAATTATTTTGATTGTTTACAAATTACAATAATCTAAATTAAGGTTATGTTGGAAGCACAAAACCACCAATTTAGTAGGTCACTAAGCCAAAAATAATTATTTTAGAATCAGAAGTTAGAGAAAGACAGAAATATATCTATTTGCTAAGAGTGAGATAAATATAATTTCTTCAAATAAAAATACCAATGACTGTCAATGGGAAATAAAAATAGCTAAGCAAAACTATTACAATTTGAAAAATAAATAAATTCATCCGGTACTAGAGGGCAGTACTGGTAAATTAATAATAGATATTTGCATTTTCTGCTCATGATGAATAGATGGCAGTACTGATATTATTTTGATTTTTGTGGATATTTCTAGATTACTTAAATTATGAATTATTATTTTGCTGATTCTGAGATGGCAAAAATACAACTTTATAATGAAAATAAGAAGAGATGGAACATGTGGATGAAACAAGGCCAGCAGTGGTCCTCTGGACGACCTTGTTGCCGTGATCTTTCCAGGTCAGCCTGGAGTCAATGATGACTCCTAGATATATAACCGAACCAGATTGAGAAAGTCTCGATCCAAAGAGCGTGAGCCCTTCTAGCCCACGTTTTTTCCCTTTCTAAATGGTACTATTTCGGTCTTGTCCCGATTTATCGACAGCCCGTGCTTTTTACACCATCTTTCGACCATATTAAGAGTTCTTTGCATGATCCTTTCAATGACAAAATTGTCCGCGTAGTCTTAAGTGTATACATACCTTTCTTGTTCGCAGTGCGGAGCAGCCCATCCAGCAATAGGCACCACAGCACGTAAGACAGTACTCCCCCTTGCGGGCAGCCTCTGGCTTCTGTTGACTGAGGTTCGCAATTCCAATCGATCTTGTAATGCTTTCTGCAGAATACTTTATACAAATGAAGAAATAAACAACTACTAAAATTACAACAAACCTCACTACTATTAGCAAATATGAATAAGTTGGTTAACTATAGGAGGACAGAGATAGGTTCACACCTCATCTCCGCCTTTGAATGCCCTGGAAGAGAAAAAGTTTCCACTAAGTTTTTATGTTATCTAGCTACTTTTCCTTCTTTTCCTAAATCCAATATCCACACTCGTCTTGCCACAGGAAGTTCCTCTAACACTGTTATCCTGTGTGAGAAGTTGTAACTCTTCTTTCGAATATCTTTCGAAGGATTTTGCTATAACTTGCAAAAATGAACGTAATTTGTTCAACAAAATAGGAACAAACTTCTATAACATTGCAAATGCCATCATTTTCTAATCTACTTGATAACATATACATTCAATTGAC